AGAAAATAAACCTTTAACTTGAGGTGTTTATCAACTTTCTTGGTTTAAATATAACCAGACTATTTAACTTCCAGGCCCATCATGTGATATCACTGAACAAATTGTTGGACATAGTTGCTAACAATGAACTCTCAGGAGCCAACATGAGCTGTTCCAATGCAGTAAGGATCCCACTCCATAGTCATTCCTGTAGGTGGTACTAACTGTTGAAATCCCTGGATGAATGAAGCTGATTTTGGCAATGGCACACAGCTAGGAAATATGTTCCCTGTGTTATGATCCTTATTCATTCTTCACATATAACATCTTCCTCATTTCTTCTGCTTTCTATGTCACTTGAAAGGAATGATTCTTCTCATCAAAACTTAGATATAAACTCTGAGGCATGATGACCAAACCTTGCATCCATTACTTTTCTCAGATAAATGGACAGATACACAGAATGGAGGGCTTCTTTTGTTCCAAAATTATGCCCTATATTATAAATTTTATTGATAATTTTATATATGTACATGATGCAATTTGATTAAATCTACCCCTCCACCCTTTCCAATTCCTGCTCTGTCTCTTTCCACACTTATTCCTCCCAGCTTCTGCTCTCTTTCTTGAATTTACTGAGTCCAGTTCACAGTGCCTGTATGTGCATAGCTTCTTTAAAGGAAGCTAGACCACTTCTTCCAGATCTAAATGTAGAACATACACAGGACTTGGGGAGTGGTTTGATTCTTCCACAGTTACTGCCAAATTATCATTCTCAATGAAATTCAGTTAATTGAGGTGTAGATCCTGAAGTTCTTTCCCAAAGTTAGATGTCCCGGAATGGTTGAGGTTAAATCTGGAGGCAACTTTCCCTCTTTCATTATCCAATAGCCTTCCTAAAATCTGATGTTTATTTGCAAAATCATTAGTTACTTTAAGAATATAATAAATTATCAATCAAATTTAGGGTGCTAGGCACAGTACTCAGGGATTTATGCATCCTAGTCATATGCTTTACCATTGAGCTACACATCCAGCCAGGATAAGCATTTTATGGGTCTGCTTCATATTATTTTTCCAATCTGTCCCCTGCTTCTTTGTTCTCTTATTTCCACTTACATCCATATGTAAGTGGAGACAAGAGATGCCAGTCAACTCTGCTATTCTGTCTTCTCTGCATGTTTATACACCTTCTTCTTCCTGTTTAATTGTTGAATTCTCTGCTAATCATTTTTCCTACCCACACTCCCCTTTGATTCTCCAAAGCTGAGGTAAAAGGCCATTTTTATTTCACTACCTCTCCTCTCCTTAAGTCCTATCTACAATGCATTTCTCACTGTTATCCAGGAAGGAAGCACTCAGTTAACACATTGTTCTTGATTTATGGCGCACTATGTTTTTTATAATAGCTATATTATCAGATTCTTTTTTATCCCCACAAGAATGTAAAATCCACAAAGAAAAGAACACTACCCAATATCTCTGTGATTTCCCATAGCTCCTAACACAGAGACTTATGAATTGAGGAATTAAGGAAATCTTGTTTGAATTGATTCTAACAAATTGAACTAAATTTTCAAAAGTGGGTTTGAGTCAAACCTCATAAAAGTATGTTTAGTTCCCATTTTTGACTCTTCCTTTACAGATACTCCTATCCATTTATACATTCAGTGGTTTATAAGAGAGATACTTTGCTGGCCATTGGGGTAGGAAGGATACAGCGATAAAGTAGACACAGGCTCTGTACTTATGAGCTCAAGTTGTAGGAGTTAGGAAAAATCCTTAAACAATAACTCTGAATTTTAACCTTATTTTAATTAAAGAACTCTAATAATTTATAGAACTCATTTATTCTACTGAGAGAAAGTGAGAAGCAATTAAGTAGTAGAGTTTAGGAATGTTGGTGATTAAAGAGCGGAGACACTTCAGCTGGAAAGAGGAATTTTTGTCACAAGTGGAGACAGTATAGGGGATTTTGGAGGAAAAATTGTAAGTGAGTATGTGTAGTGAGGACAATATAAAGAGATACTCTCAGGGATTTGGTTACATGGAAAGATGGGAAGAAATAATCCTGGTTAATGTGACAGGTTACTAGATAGTTTTTGTTGAGCCAATTCTCAACATATTTTCAAAAACTTGAAAATATGTATTCTAAATTACTATATAGGCATATGTGGAGGAAAGATTGTAATATTTATGGGTAATTGTTTCTAGAAGCAGAAGGAAGGAAGTACTCCTTTTTTCCCTCTTACTGAATATCAGTCAACATAATGAACTTTAATGACAAATTAAGGGAACACATATCTTGACTCCTATCCTCATCCTCTCACAAAGTTAACATCCTGAAAATAAGCTAGGTAAAAAGGTAAAAAGGGCACCCCTAAGAGGGACACACATAGAGGGCCCCAGGAAGGGAACATATTTACGATCTCCTGGGTAAACTGGGAGGGGAGTAGAAGGGGGAGGATGGGGGATGGGAACTTGAAGGATCAAGAAGACCAAACTGGGGCAGGGACAGAGAGAAAGAGCAATGAAAGAGGTATCTTGTAGAGGGAGGCATTATGGGAGCAGGAGGTCAAGACCATGATGGGGAAAACCACAGAGACACCTGACTTGAGCTAGTGTTAGCTCATGGACTATGGACTGACAGCTGGGGAAACTTCATGGAACCAAACCAGAACCTCTAAATGTGGGTGATAGGTATGTGACTTAGTCTGTTGCAGGGGAGGCTGGAAGTGGGACCGGGACACATCCTCTGGGCATGAGCTGGCTTTTTGGAGCCTATTCCCTGTGGTGGGATACCTTGCTCAGCCCTGATACAGGGGAGAGGGGCTTGATCCTGCCTCAACTTTGTATGCCAGACTTTGTTGACTCCACATGGAAGGCCTTACTCCCTATGAGGAGTGGATGGGAGGTAGGAAGGAGGAAGCTGGGAGGGAGCACGAGAAGGGGAGGGAGAAGGAACTGGGTTTGGTATGTAAAATGAAAATTAGTTTTTAAAAATAAAATTAAAAAATTGGTGAGAAAATAAAGAAAAGAAATGCAGGAACTAGATATGGACCAGTCAGGAGTCACAGGGTGGGAGTGGGCCATCTGCCAGCATAAATACATTTCTTGTATGAGATATTTCTACATAATTCTACCTACTAAATAAAGTGGGAAAGGCATACTGCCAAGGGGCCACCCATGTTCCTTTCTTTTCTCAGTGGGGCAGGGCTGCTAGGTGCTGTGTTATTACAGCACCAACACAGTCAGGAAACCAATCTCAGGAGCAAAGCCAAATGTTCATTCTCCACTCCTGTGTGATATGCAGTAGTTTTCTTGAACTAATATCACAACTCTGCTCTTTATACCTCTCTCCCAGCCCTGACCCTCCCATGGCATGCCTGCTGCAGGAAATGATGACTTGATTTGTCTCACCATTCAGAGTGGAAAATTTGCAATCATCTTTGACTACACTCCATTTCTCACATCCCGTATCTAATAACAAATGCTGTCAAGCCTATACTAAAGTCATCCAGTATCTGTTAATATCTCACCATTTTCTTCCCTTCCTCTCCTGGCCTAAGCCATTACCAACTCTTGCCTAGATTATAGTAATAGTATATTTTGACATTTCAGAAATGATTCCTCACAGAGCATCCAGAGTGAACCTGTGAAAATATTGGTCAGAACTCGTGCTCACATGCTCCTTTGCTCAGAAATACCCAGTGACTAAAGGTTCACATCATCCTAATATAAGGTCTGAACCACTTCTGGCCTCCAAATATGCACTTCAGATTTTACTATGTACACCTTTCTTCTCCTCTAGGCATCATGGAATTGGTACCAGTGTCCATCAAAAGACCCATTTATGAGTTCCTGTTGCAGAAAATTGATGCACATAGGGCCTTCTATCTAGAAGACTGTTCAAATAATACCTTCCTGGAGAGCCTTTCTGTCTATAGTGGTAAGTTCTCCCCCACTTCAAAGTTACCATTGCATAGGCTTTGACTTCTACTATCTATTAACTGTCTGTCTGTATATCTGCAATCTATTTATCTATCTTTATGTAATGTGTATGTTTATGTATGTGTATGTTTATTTATTACAGTATTTTCCAATAGAACTTTCTAAATATCATTTATCTGGGTTGTAGAAGAAGGTAGTCATTAGTCATACAGAGTCATGCAGTACTTGAAACTTGGCTAATGTGACTGAGGATATGAATAGTTAATGTTATTATGTTTCAATGAATTTAAGATAAACAGGTATATATGGGTTTTGGCTACCATAGGAGACTGTACAGATTGATGTTCCTTTCCATAGATACTCATATGTAGATTACATTATGTAGATAATTTTCCTAAAAATGTGCTTGGCTACAAGAAATTCCTGTTGGTTAGATGTACAAATGAATACAAGGAGAAATTCTGTATATTATCATTGTATTTTAAATTTTAGTTTTTATTTTATAAATGATCATACAAGGAAATGAGCTTTATTTTGGTGTTTTCATACATATGCCACTCTGCATTATTTTTACTCATCCCCTGTGTCCACTTTTACAGACCCCCTTTACCCACCCACCCCTATCTACTTTGCCTTTCTGCTTTCCTATCATATGATAATCTATTATTTATTATTTATTTAGGCTTAACAGAAATCCTGTATGTTAGGTACTCTTTTCTTTTGCTAGTACTTAAAGATACAGTAGTATTTTGCTGAAGAATATGGATCTAGAAGCAAATAGGACATGAACTCAGCAGTGTTTGATGGCATTTAGACGTTCAGTCTTGCTGAGGTTGACCTAGATGCCCTCAGTGGTCTTTTCCAACTCTGAGCTTATGTGCATTTCAAAGAATTTCCTCCCTTACCAGGAAATGGCAGCACATGGTTTAAACAATTGATTGGATCAACAGACCTTTACATCAAGTCCCTTGTCAATGGCTCAGCAATATCTAATTACTTCATTGGAAAGAATACATGCTCTTTTTCAACCCATGCCATCTTTATCTCAAGTCCTATATTCTGTGACTTACCAGTTTCTGGATCACAAAGTTGTTCACAGGCATCTGTCGTCCTCTGTCCACACAGGTCTCTCACCCATGGGGAGGTAGCATTGATCTGGTAGTACAGGGACAGCTTGGCAGGGTTTAGCCAGTCAGAGATATCCAGGTAGCTTCCTTCACTTACTACGAAGCTGCTCCCTGTGGGTGAACAGAAAACAAAAGATACTTTTCCCCAATTTCAGAGTCATTGTTGGTACTAAAGGAACAAAGGAGCAAATAATTAATCACCAACTGTGACAAGTCATTCACTTAAGAACAATGGAAGAACCTTTACCCTGTGTCTTTGTGATGTCAAAATCAACATGAACTAATTCAGTCTAGTGGATAAGAGTGTGTCCTGAGGACTGGGTTCAGGCCCAGGCTTTACCTTTATAGAACATTGACTTTGTGAAAGTTGCTTGGTTACTCTCATCTTGGTTGCTTCATTTGTAAATGGAAATATTAATGGGAGCCACCACACTGTGAGAATGAAATAGATTGATGGAAGGTGTGCAGACCGTTCCTGAGAGGTTCTAGTAAAAATTGATTAAATGTTAAATTTCAAAAGGGAAAGTGTCCTTGTCCCCCATGCCTCCCTTTGGGAAAGAGTATACTAATGCTCACCATAGCTGAGTGGGTGCTATCTATGTGCAAGATAAGAAACATAGAATCGAGGCCTATTTCCCTTGATGCCTGTGTTTTCCTATATTTTCTGTCATTGCTTTTGTAGTTCAAAATGAGGGTCTCAATATTGAACTATACTCTTAGCCCAACTTATTTTATTCTGAGGGACATAATGAGATAGAAATGTATAAAATGTATACAGAGGTAGACAAACACATGGATGAATTTTCAAGGAAATTCCCAAAACCTTTAAGGGAAGATGACACACACACACACACACACACACACACACACACACACACCTTGATACTGGGATTGGTGGTACGTATCTATAATCACTGTACTCAGAAGATGGAGGTAGTGAGTTCAAAGTCAGTAAGATCTACACAATGAATTTCAGGTTAGCCAGAGATGCAGAGGGAGATCATATCTCAAAAAGTTAGCAAGCAATCAAACAAATGAGCCTGATGCTTGGTGTTTGGAGAACACAGGAGAAAAGCCAGTGGGGGCTGAGGTCAAAGGTCATGTCAAGTCCCACTGAAATGGTAGCTATGGGTCACTTCGAGTTAGATCTTTACACATTGCCCTAAAAACCAGAGAGACTGAAATTTTATTTTTTATTGTAATCAACCAGTTTTCAAATGAAAAATTAAGGATGTTCATAGAAACCTTTGTAGGTCAAAAATCCTCTAGCTTTGTAATCTATGAATTCAAATATTCCTTATTCATTCATAAGATATATCATATATATATATATATATATATGCACATGCTATACATTATCCATTTCAGTGCAGTTACTATATACTTATACTGTGTTTATACACATACAGATTCTATACAAATTCACATATGTTTATATGTACACCCAATTGGAGGAGGTTAGAAGATCCTTCAGATTGGCTACAATAATATTGTAAATGATGAACATGTATATAAAATAATCATGTAAAGCAAAGGTAAAGCTTCACATAGTGAAAAATATGAGTTTGAATAGGACTAAATGAGACTTGAAGAATAGTTCTGGACTTGTGGTAGATCTATCAACCTGCACCACAGGGAACAGAAATTTCTGTCCTAAAATTAACATAACTAAGCCTTCCTACCCTGTTGGCTTCTCTTTATCACACAAGGAAACAACAATGACAACAACCGAAAACCTAGGTTTTTTTTCCCCAGGGAAGAAATTCAGGTTTTCTAAAGAGCATCTCAGTTTTTAAGCATCCTTTGCATCTTACAGGGACTTCTGTCAGATCATATTAGATATTGTTTTTGAACTATGATTGGGCTAATCTTGGAACAGATAATCTGCTGTCATCCAGTAAAAAATGGTCAGAGAGGTGAGGTCACATGAAACCATGCCTGGCTGCTTAAATGTCTGAGACCAAGGGCTAATGCTTATATTCTTAAGCTCACACAGACATAAAATGTTTATTATTCTATAGAAGGAGTTCCTATGTAAAGGCACAGGAGGCAACACGATTTTCAGTGTGAATGCCAGAAGCATCCATGTGAAACAGCAGGAGGAGATGAGTGACATCAAGCTGAGATAAGGAAATGACCACTTTTGAAGTTGGCCCTGAAGTCCTTGGCAGCAAAAGGAAAAAAGAAGAAGTAGAAAAAAAAAGAAATGAGTCTGTTGGATTTCATATTTCCAACTTTTGGCAAGGAAAGATATGCAAATCTATCTGCAAAGCCACATTTCCCCCACTGGAACAAAGCCCAAAAAGAAACGTGTCACATGGGTCCTTGAGCAAGGCACTACACATCAGTATCAACTGCAGATTTTTCTTTTAAAAAGCACAGTCATGCTGTTTAAATGGATAATTCCTGTATTTATTCTCACTAAAGACTGAGGGATGGATATTGAATTGTGTCCCAGGGCTGAGTTTGGTTAATCCCACTGCTTCAGAAATGCTACACAGTGCTGTGATAAAGAGAACAACCAGCAAGATGTGAGTTCAGATCCTCACAGTATTACTTCCTAGATGCATAACCTCGAGCAAGAAAACAACCCCCACCCCCAGTTACTATGCATAAACAGCATAGATAGACAATTCCCACCCCCCAGATGCTGATATCAAGGTTACATAAGACAATGAATCTGACTTAGGTAAGCATTTGTCTGCAAGAAGTCTCAAAGGCAGTCTCAAAATGAGGGTGGTTTGCTAGTATGATCCTGAAAGAGAGTGAGCAAAGTGAAATGGCATGGAGGGAGAAGTTAAATTGCAATGGGGATGCAGAAAAAGCCCTTCAGAGACTGCATGGGACACTCTGACAGTAGATGGTCCTTCATACTGGTTTCAAATCAAGACAAGCTCAGTAAAGGACTATAGGCTATCTCTGGGAAGTAGACACAACCTTTGGTGAAACAGTTCTTCACAATGGAGGGTGTCATTATATAATGAATACTCAGCTGAGAGGGGCCAGCCATTAGCATTCTTGCAATTGGGAGAATGAGTGATTTGGTAGTTAATGGAGATAATGATCCAGCATTGCAAATCCACTAAAGCAGATATAAACCCCTGGGTTCCTTGTGAAATCGGCTCATGGGAGAAATTTTGATTATTATTTGGATTTCTAAGAAATTTCAAAGCTCTACAATAATATCCACAGATTTCAAATATGAGAAATATGATGGGACTAGAAATCAGGTATAATAGGCTACTTATATTTGAAGGTTGAGGCTTTCAGAGATGACTGGGCCATGAAGATAGAGTTCTTATAACTGGGATTAGTGCCTTAACTACAAAGCTGTTTAGAACAAGGAAAGAGAGCCTACAATGAACCAGGGGACTGACCATTGCCCAACACCAAACCTGACAACATCCTGATCTTGGACTCTCCAGGCTCCAGAACTTTCAGAAACACACTTGTACTGTTTGTGAGGCACTAGTGATCTGGTATTCTGTTTAAGCATCATGAATAGACTAAGTCAGTAGGTTATCTTTAACATCTTTGAAATGGTATTTCACAAAGATGTACAGTGGTTTTGATGGCAGAGGGAAGCTACTATTCTTTGAGTGTTCTGTTTATTCATTCATGATATAAATATGTTACATATTCTGCTCACTTACAGCAGTCTGGTGGGATAGCCATTTTCTTCTTTCACAGAAGAATGCATGAGGTACAGAGAAGAATTTATCTGAACAATTTGCATAATTACTTAGGGGCAGAAGTAGAAGCTAAAAGAAGAGTTTTTACTTTCTAGAGCTGTGACCTTCCCAGTATTTCAGGCTGTTTTGAGAACAAGGAGCTTTGGTAGGATTGTCTTCTGAGGTCCTTTGACTCTTCCTCCAGAAGGCTGGAGACTCACTTTGGTGTCTGTAGAGCTAGAGGCACTTTCCCCTCCTCTGATGGACTGTGACGTCTTACAAGGAACATGTGGGGAGTCATAAGTCCTTATAAATCCATCTCTCAGCAAAACACTTGTCACATTTTAGAGATTTAGCAAATGTTAAAGTGAATTCATGAAATCGAGTTCCATGTCTGACTACAGAGACCTTCACCTCACTTCTTCCCGAGACTGTAAAGTAGAAAGGCTATCTTGTTGGTCCACATTAGTTTTATTGGCACTCCATAAAACCTATACAATAAAATTAACATGTTAGGAATCTCAGCAATTTCAAATTAAAACACTGAACTTCACCGTCATGGCTCTTGAGAGAAGTAACTCACTGTCATGGGCTTGAGATGTGGATGAGTAAAATACAGATATGAGTAGAGGGGCCCTGTGTAGAGGAGCAAGGGGATACAAAGATCTTTTTGTATCAGAAAATTGGTGAAAAAAAGACTTCTGCATTAATTTTAATGTGTTCATTTGTCCAACACTTAGTAAAGCCTTCCCCTTGTAAAACCATTTTCATAAAGACTGGAAAATAAGCTGGATCCATTTGGGAATATTATGAGATAAAAAAGAGCAAATGCATGCCAAAGTACATACCATACAAACCAGAGTATGGGATGGATTATCTGAAAAGCTGGGTTTTTCCTTTGGAAAAAGTAGGGAAGCTCAGAAAGCAGGCCTTATGGATTGTCCTTTAACTTAAGCTTATAGGCAAAGATCAATCACAGGAGGTTAAAGAGGCAAAACAAAGAGTTAGTTGCAAATTTACCGAGTAGAGCTGAAAGACATACCTGTCTTATATATCTCAATCCTTGCCATACATATGACAGAATTTCATCTAGTGTGAACTTTCATATACCATCATTAATTCATTCATTTGTGTTTTTGGATATGAGCTAGTTAGTTAGCAAGCCTGTACCAGACTCTAGTTGAATAAAACACAGTGTGAAATAATAGCAGGGATGGAGATCAGACATGCAATTCTGAGGCAAAGACTATATGCTTATGCTTGTTTTCCTTTTCCTTCATATTCTATCTAGATTCTTCCTGTTTCAAAGGCAAAACCATGCTTTGTTTAACTCATGATCACCATAGCTCTTAGTGTGTGATGGAGGTTCAGAAGACATTTGGATATGGGCAGAGAGTCTGAGAAAAAATACAAGGCAGAGTTAGGAGGGAGGATGCACTA